ATTGGAATTTGTGAGTTGTTACTTTATTAAACGTTTTGGATATTTATTATTGGAATTTGTGAGTCGTTACTTTATTAAACGTTTTGGATATTTATTATTGAAATGTGTTAGTGATTGTTTTATTAAACGTTTTGGATATTATTATTGATTTGTGAGTGGTTATTTTACAAATGTTTTAAATATCTATTATTATAGAATTTCAAGAAAATATATATTACGTATGATTTATCATTCCCGTTGAGAAATTGTGTTTGCTGAGAATTTAAAAATGTTTTGAGAATTTATGAATGTTTATGAGAATTTAGAAATACTTTATGATTTAGAAAAATGTTTGAGAAAATTATGAAATATTTTAGAAAGACCTTTCATAAATTGATTTTAGAATTTTAAGAAATGTTTTAAGAAAGAAAGATTTTAAGAAATGTGTTTTAGAAAGTGATTTTTAGAAATTGTGTGTTCTTACTCGTTATTATTAGAAACCTTTCTGAGTTTTAGTTGCTCAAATTTTATGAAATTTTTATGAGAAAGTTTATTACTTCAGTTTTATAATGTTCGAAAATTTTGAGAATTTCAGTTATTTATGAAAGAAGTTTTACAAAACTATTTTCTTATTAAATTGCCACTCACTGAGCTTCCCAGCTCACTGTTTATCATTGTTTTCTCCACCAGGCTGCACCTGAGTTTCAAAGAGATAGTCGACCAGTTTCTGTCACTCAACGTCTCTCAGAACTTGCATATCATTTTGTATGTTCATTTAGAACGACTTGTAATAGATTAGTTTTACCTTTTTGTAATTATTATGCATGTTTAGAAGTTGTGGGAGAATAGTTTCTTTTGTATTAGGTTATGTTTATATTATGGGTTGTGTATAATAGGGAATAATATCAGTTAGGTTGAAAGGTTTAGAAAGAAGTTTAATTATAGACTCTATAGCTGGCTAGAGTCTATGGTCGGCGCGGTTTGTTCTAGAACTAGTAAATATTTTGGGACGAGTTGTGTCAAAATGTGTTAAGGAACAAAAGTTCTTGATTTTAATATGTTAAATCTGAATAATCTCAAACATTACAAGCCTTTAAATAGGCCAAAGGATCGTTCAAGAAAGAAATACCAAAAGCCTTTCAAAATGCTATTTAATGTAAATTGAAGAAAATAAGTCATGCAATTTAAAACTTGATTGCACATCAATCTAGACACTTAAATACAGAACAAAAAACGTAGAATGACTTTAAATTGTCTTGGAAATCTAATGTAGAAGGCGCTTCACGTTTGGATGAGCTTTGACAAGCTTTGACTTCATAAACTCTTGAGATGTGCAATCTGCAAAGGCACCTGTTCAAAATTCTGCACACTTTTTTTTGTCCTCGAGTGTGATTTGGAGTGAGATTCGAATTTTGATTCGTGGTTCATTCAGAGTTAAACAAAGAAATCGTCATTCGGTCGATTTTTACTCGTGAATTTTTTAAACAAGAGGGTATTCTAGTCATTTTCAACTGCACAAATTGAAAAAGGGTTAAAAAAAACTTTTTTTCAAGGATTAGAAAAACTAAGGAGTCGTTTGGTTGGAAACTCGGATTCTGTTTTTTGTTTTCAGATTCACTGAATCAAATGGATTCAGCGAATAGGCGTTTGGTAGAATTTTTTAGATTAGTTTTTGAAAACTGTTTTCAGATTCTGTGTAACAACCGAAAAAATATATATAAATATATATATATATATATATATATATATTTAAATTATTATATTTTAGTTGTTTTCTTTTATTTTCTCAAAGATAAACCTTTTTGGTTTAGAAATTATTTTTGAAAGATAATTTGTTCTTAGAGTTTGAAAAAAATAAAAAGAAAGAGTTTTATTAAATCTTTATCTTTTTATTATCCTTTTTAAATAAGGATTCATTAGGATTTGTTATAAAAACCATTAAACCCTAAGTTTTATTTTTTTAAACTGTTAGACCTAGTTTTCTCTCAAAGAGAAAAAAAAAAAGAAAAGAAGAAGAGTTTGGTATTTTCTCTCAAAGATCGGTAAGATTTTCTTCTCATTGTTTTAGTTTTATTTTTCTTGATTTGTAGTTC